TGCCAGCAGGGGGACTGTCTGAAATGTCAGACAGTCCCCCTGCTGGTGGGAAGTATAAAAAAAAATGATTAGACATGTTTTAAAATAAATTGAAATGTATTTATATATATAATATATGTATATATATTATATACATATATAATATATATACATATTATATATATGTAACCTCATACGTAGTGTATTTTAATATTAATATAAGTACATATATTAGTATTAAAATACACTTAGAATGACGTTACATATTGTTAAGACACCTCTAGTGTCTTTAGGCAAAACCGCCGTTTAGTAGACCTTCCCCGTCTGCAGTAACAGTAACTCCGTTCGCTTAATCTGTAGTATACGAACCAAATGCAGGGGAAGCAGCAATCTCCCGACCGAGATCCGTGAACGGCTCCAAACTCCCGAACGGCAAAACACGAACTGCTGCTAGCCACCGAACAACAATATTCACCAAGCGGCTTCCGTTCCATCCAGCAGTCTCTAAACGTGAAGCAGAAATCCCCCCAATAACGAGACAGAAGCTCCGCATTGAGGGTCAAACAGGATCTGGCTTTACTGTGGGCTACCTGCCAGTATTTATGCAGGTCTCCCACTTGGTGGACACTCCCCTCACTGGGGGGGTGGGGATGACGTAGGCTGCGTGCATGCGTGAATGCTACGGAAGGGGGTGGCGCGAGTGAAGCCCGCCGAGAGTGTCGTGGGAGATAAACGCCGGAGCTCTTAGCGGTATGCTGGAGCTGCTGGAGAGGACGACGCAGAATGATAGTCCGGCCACGGTCCCTTGACTTGAGTGCTCTCTAATTGGTGAGAGGAGGGAGGACACTTTGGCATCGCTTATGCTGTGGAGAAAGGGCAAATTGGGTGATGGCAATGGATGCAATGGAGGCTTGTTGATCGTTGTTTTGACAAGTATTGTTTTGGATCAAAGAAAACTTTGATTATTTGTCTATCTACACCTTCCAAATTGATTAATTAATGCGTGCACGCTTTCCCTAGAAGTAATTCACACCGGAGACAAAGTTTCTGATCAGTGAAAAACCCAGGAATGCTTTATTCCCCGGAGTGGGGGCTCCTTCTTAAAGCAAAAATACGTCACAGTTTAAACATACAGTATACATTCACCAATTGGTTAACAGAGAAAGGGGGCTCTTGTTTAAACCCCCCTACAGAATGTAGTGTCATCATTACACACTTTTGGATACACGATGGGAGGGGGAGTGAGTGGTATCTATCAGTTCTAAACCAATGATCCTCCATTTAGCTATACGTGGCATATAGCTGTTTAACTGGCACAAAGGTAGTGGGGGAGGAGTTAGTAAAGGGAGCTGTTAACACAGGAATTTTGTTTACACAAGGTTTGCTTGTTTTGAAGGGGGATGCTTATCAGGATGAAGAATTTACATAGTAAACAGCAACTGAACACATTGTAGGGGGCGAAGGGAATATTTACTCTAGCAGCCAGTTTTAACATAGTGAACACAGAATAAATAGACATTAGTAAATAGCCATTTTATTTTAATTCATCTGTCCATAACAGTCCCCCCTTAAAATGGCAATTTTACTAAAACTACTATCTCTCATTCTAATACTGTCCCTATAGAAAAATAACAAAAGGCTATCTTGCACATCTGTCTGAACAGGCCTCGAACACTTCACTGCGCGGGTACCCCATAGCAGCTTGTCCACTACTTCTCCCGCGGCAGACTTCTGCCCGTAGAGACAGACGCTATCCCTAAATGTCTTTAAGAGGAAGTAGCTGTTGATTTAGTGCGGTGGGACTGTAAGGGTGTATGTGGTGTATCAAGGTCGATGTCGTCAATCTCTTGGTGAAGGAAGGTCGGGGTGGTCTGGTCGATTGTCTGATCAACTGTCCTTTGTAGGCATTTCTTAAGACAGGGTAACACACAACAAACAAGAAGAGCGAGGATGATTATCGTTATTAAAATGGCAACACCTATTTGGGCCAAAGCACCTTGCCATCCAGACATCCATCCAAACCATCTTTCCCATGGATCTGTGGCCCCAGAATTTCGTTTCAGTTCATTGGACAAACTCTTTAACTTTTCTATTGCCAACGTTACCTTACCATTAGGGCCTGTATTATCTGGAATATAGGTACAGCATGTCATGGTGTCTGGGAGTATTTTACATACTCTCCCTTTTTCTGCTAAAATCATTTCCAAGCTTATTCTATTCTGGAAGGTCAACTGAGAGATAGTTTGTAACCGCCCTATCCCACCATATATCCCATAACAAGTATAGTTCCCGGGCTATATAGTAATGCCTTCGTCTGGGTTAATATTTTTAGTAATGATTGGGTATTAAGTTTCCATGACTCGCATGCTGACCGCTTAGGTTTAAATACAGTGTAGAGACTTAAAACGCACACTTCATATCCGGAGGAAGGTTCAGGGATACTGTACCTGGGTGAGGCCTCGCTCCTCTGCAGACATAGCAGTTAGACTTGTTATGTTTAGTAGCATTGTATTTCATCCATTCAAGTCACAAGTTAGTGTCAGAGAAACCTGTCTCTACAGCCCTCTTATCCTCAAATATGGGATGACTACCATGTCTTTTAAAGTCCTAATGTGTGGTTTGAGGGGATTAACAGTCATGTGCGTGGCACCTACCCATTCAGCTGAGTCATACATGTCCTGTAAGAAAAAGGTCTCCTGTTTATTGTATAAACCTCTTCCCTTCCAATTCAGATTTTATTAGCCGTAATGCTTGGGAGAATAGATTCAAACTTAGTTTCTTACCTTAAAATTATTTGGTACCCCCCTTGACACCCCTATGGCATTAATATACATATATATATATATATATGTGTGGGTAAAACCACCCTTTATAGGGGTACTCCTTTTTGTCCTGAAGCATGAATGAGGTGTGTCAAGAGTACCTTGGGGATTGTCATGTGTTATGTGTATGGACATAATAACCTAGGCTAGGGCACATTTACTTATTCTTAGAAATCTTGTCTCATGCTACCCTAGTACTGGCAGATTCAGATCATTTAAACATTCAATATTAATATCACCCCAAACTCAAGATAAGCAGATGATCTTGAAGAAGCTTTGACTGTGCGTATGGCACCTCAGACGTGAGGGCTGCAGAGTAAGGAGTATATTTGTTTCTCTTTAGTTTCACGAGGTCCCCTTTTGGGGTATTCAGCTTTCCATCGATGGCAGGTGGTCAGGCATTATTATGGCCATCAAAACACCCACTTGTTGATATTTATTTATTTTCAACAAGTATCTTTGTTCTCTAAGAATGGAGTTTCAAAAAGGGTTGTCAAGATCAACAAATGTTACTTCACATGATGCAGAGGCAGGCTTGATTCTGGAATGATGAACCCACGGGGTGATCTCTGTATCTTTCACGGTGCACTACTCAGCATGTGGTCTTGGTTATCACTTTGGTGGCTGGATAGGCCTCTGGCCATCCTGAAAACATGTCTGCTATAATTAGTGCATATTTGAATCAGCCATTCTTTGGCATTCTGGCGACTTGACTCCTCTGGAAGAGATAATGAGGTTTGGCTAGATGCTTGGGGCTTTCATCCATTCTTCTTGAGTTGCCCTTGGCACAAATGGCACAAGATTTACAGTAACTGTTGGTCAGAGATTCAATTCCTGGTACTTCAGAGTATTTATTGATCAAAAGAGTTCATGAGGGTTCTGGACAGATGCTCCGTAGGCCCACTGGACCACTGCTGAGTATATGTTCTTGGGCAAGTATAACTTGAGATTGTTGAAGTACAGCCTGTCTTTAAGAGTTGCCCCTTTCTGTTTCCAGCTTGTGGTTTGTTTGTTTTTTCTTTCTTTCCAGGGTCAGTAGCTTGCTTGTTATTCCTTCGGGAGCTTGATGTCTGTGGGTAGGATCTTACATGGTGAATATGGGAGTTTCTTCAGCAGACACTTTTCTGTCCACTTCCTTTAGTGCACTTACAACTTTTTGAACAACTTAGTCAGCCAGAGAGCTGCCACATGCTTCCTCTGAGTTCAGTCTTCCTTCAGAGATCTTGCATGGTGTGATGGGAGTCTATAGCTCAGCTTCTTGTGCAGACATTGTTGAGGTGAGATACTTGGTCCAGCAAATCCGGAACAGAACATAAGAAAAAGGCTAAAAAAAAAATAATAGTCAGTGTCTTATCATTTCCCCCCTTGGGAAGTGGCAGAAGAGTGGCCAGGTAAATAGAGTATCATCCCTGCAGGGTGACATTATCCTGCACAGAATTCGTCCATCACAAGGAGAGGTGGGATATTGCATGGAAAGTCTCAGGTAACCAGGGCAACATTCGACACCAGAGCCTTAACCTGTTAGGGAATAGTAAGAGCTTGGACAGGCTTTGGGGCCTGTATAATTCAGGTAAAGGTATTGGGGGAACTAGCTAGGACCCTTGCCTCTTGGTCAGGTTTCACTGTGTGGAACAAAATGAATAATAAGGTGATAGGGGCCTGCAAGTGGGGGAAGGACATCTGCACCTAGCAGATTAATTGGACAGGTGAAGGTAACCACAAAGCAAGGCTTAGTTAACAGGCTACTCCAAGGAGAGCCATTTACACTTATGCAGGAGACAACAATGTTAGACAGGAATGAGGAGTCAGGCAGGCCTTGCTTGGTACAAATAGATGTCATGTGGCCTGCTATACAAGGCTGCATATAGTTATTGGGCATGGGCCTTACTATGTACTAAAACTTAAGTTAAAAGAAAATTTGGGACAACCTGAAGTGATGCTTCTCCACAGATGCTAACTCATCGTTGATGACATTGTTAATACAGGTAGCCTGATCAGCCAATTTATCTTAGGCTTAAACAAGTCACACCATGTAGTGGAATGGGTCATTAGGATTCGGGAAATTCTACAGTAAAAGGGCATAGTAAGGATGTACGCGATGTTACTTTAGGAGTAGGCGTGGCTGTGGATAGGGGGAAATCAGCCTTATCCATTCCCATATATTATTCCTTTTGTCTTCAGTATATCCAAACCATGTGTATGTCCAGGCGTTGCAATATACAGTAATCCATTATCAGTCATGATAGTAAAATCTCATTCTCATTAATTAAATCAAAGATTTTAAATCAACCTCAGAAGTAACAACATTGTTTTTACCTTCTGTAAAATGATTGGAGTTACTGTATAATTGCATACACCCAATATAACATACATTGCATGTTCCTCACTGCTACATTAGTGTATTTCATTCTGCCATATTTGCAAACTTGATGTACATTTTTATTTTAATTAATTAACCTAATACTTTCTTAAAATACATATAAAACAATGAAAAAAACAGTTCAGACTAACATTTCATTAAAACAAACTAACATAGAACTCTATTCTTGGCTGTTCTTAATTCTGGAATCAGCCTGTGTACCTCTGTTGGCAGACATATCCATGCTCATTCCCTAAACTGATCATATCTCTTGAAGTTCTCTGATTCTTATAACTTTCTGTGTTACACTGCATTGCTTGTCTGTCTCCTAATTTCGATTTAGCTAAAATTGCTTTTATTTGTCTGATTATCAGTTTACAAGGAAAGGCTTTTATTGATTTATCTCCACATGTATTTTCTCTATCAAAATTTTCAATCAACATATTTAATTTTTCATTTGCTTTTGATTTGATATCTCGGATAAAATATCTGCAAGATCTTAAATAATGTTGTTTATTGCACCAAAAACAAATAACTTTAGGAGTTATATTCTGTCTTTGATTAACTCTACACTCTGTCCTAGAAGAAGAAGAAGAAGGAGGGGGACGAGGGCTGTAAAATCTGCACTTCTTTCTCTGCCTAAATCCACAAGTCGTTTTAACCCCTTCATTATTGGTTTCTCTCCTTAAGTTATCCAAGAACAAAGCTACTTCTGTCAAAGTGCTTTTTTCTCTTGCTAACACAATTGCAGTTGGATCTAGATCTTGAAATTTTTTCACAAATTCATTAATTAACTGATCTTCAGAAAAATCAGCAACAAGTCTATATGCACTTTCAAATTTTACAAGAAAACTAAATATATCCTCCCCTTTGTGTGGTTTTAGTTTTTCCAACATTTCAGTGTCTGCAAAATCATTCCCTGTTGTTAATTTTATTAATTGTGTTAATCTGTATTGCTTATTTCAATATATTATTTCATCATTGTCCTCGAATTTTACAGGCGCGGTCAGCCTACATGCCATTTGAGTCGGCAGCCATATTTGAAATAGTCTATTCCTTTGTTCGTCATTTAGGCTGTATTTGTCTAAATTAGACTCAAACATTTCAGCATTAGTAAATGCATCCACTGACGTGTCATAAACTGGAATACATTTCACAATTTTCATTAATTGTTCATGGATTTTCAAATTAAGTTTTGCAGCTCTATCTTGAAATTTACATTTCTGCAAATCACTCTGTGAGGATACATTTTCAGTATCTATTGGTTCTGGGATTAGATTCTGTGCCTGTATGTTTCTTGTATTAACACACACTAGTTTAACTGCTTTTCTAAGCTGGCAACTCAAATCATTTCTTTGTTCAACTCTATCCTCTAATTCACAGACTTTTTCTGACAATGTTCTCTCTGTTACTTTGTTACACTGTTCATTTAAATCTGATTTGTCTTCTGTTAACCCATTCAAATCTACTTCTTTTTCTGATGATTCTAAATTTTCTTGATCTGCATTTCGTTTACAAATCAATGCATTGTAAGTACAGACTAGTTTCATAACATTTCTGATCTTTTGTTTTTTTTTCTTATTAACAAACAATTTCTTGTCAATTTCACTATTGGCAATTTCACATTGTGTGTATAAAGATTGCCACAAAACAGCATCTGAATAGCTGCTATTAAATGCAAACTGCAATTTACTTTTCTCTGCGATATTCATTTATAAATTCCACAATTCATTTGTTCCAACAAAATCTAACTTTCCTTATTCCAACATGCCAATAACCTCTTGCTTAACAATATATACAAGATTACACAAAGTTCCTAACTAGGTTATTCGTCCAGCAAATATACCTTGTTTCCCTCACATTCCTCACTGAGTTTACAAGCATTTCACCCATTCACCCCACCCCCCTGTAGCCAATACTCATAGCAGTCAGAGCAAGAGAAAGCAACAAAGAAGGAGGGGGAGGAGGGAGGAAGACTTGCAAGCACAAAGTTTTTTAACCATGTGATTGCCTAAGCACAGCTCTCCTTAGGACAAAAGATAGAATAGGAGAGTAACGATACAAATTGTATAGATTACAATTAACATATATGGTACCCAACAAGACATACACAGACAAAAGCACAAAATACAGATGTAATTAAATCACAAAGTTCTTAAAATAAATGCCGGCTTATAATAAATCAAATCACACACACAGAAACACTCAAGCACATAAACCGCTCCTATTTAAACTCTTGACCGAGTCTTAATAAAACAAAGGAACCGCCAGGTTTTTTACCAAACGAGGCCAAAACATCACTCACTAGCTTCTTTACCAAAGCTTAGCTAAAATAATTTTTTTTTTTTATTTATTTATTTATTTATTTTTTAAATTATTTTATTTATTTATTTTTAAACTCTTGACCGAGTCTCGCAATAACTTCTTTACCGAAGCTTAGCTAAAATAAATATAGAGCCAGGGGTTTTCCACCAAACCCGAACTTGGCTAAACCTGCAAGTGCTTAACCACACTTGGCAGCATTATATAACAGTATTAAGCAAGTAGTAAAACAGATTCTCAAACAGACACTTTCACACATAAAACTCTCACTCAGGACTCAGGCTGTAGATAGACAAGTGACAGGTTCTATATAAAAGGGGACATTCGGGCATATATATATTACCTGTCTGAAGACGTTAAACACCGGAAGCCGAATGTGAAGGCACGGAGAACAAGAGAAATCCAAAGAAAGGAAAATATAGGTAAGTAACTCATTTACCATATGCAGAGGTGATCAGGCTCCGTTTCCAATCTCTGGGAATCCTTTGCTCTCCTGTCTTGGGATCTGACGGCTGCCTTAGTAACGTATCCCTTAAATGCCCGCATTCTCCACCAAATTGTTTTGGATCAAAGAAAACTTTGATTATTTGTCTATCTACACCTTCCAAATTGATTAATTAATGCGTGCACGCTTTCCCTAGAAGTAATTCACACCGGAGACAAAGTTTCTGATCAGTGAAAAACCCAGGAATGCTTTATTCCCCGGAGTGGGGGCTCCTTCTTAAAGCAAAAATACGTCACAGTTTAAACATACAGTATACATTCACCAATTGGTTAACAGAGAAAGGGGCCTCTTGTTTAAACCCCCCTACAGAATGTAGTGTCATCATTACACACTTTTGGATACACGATGGGAGGGGGAGTGAGTGGTATCTATCAGTTCTAAACCAATGATCCTCCATTTAGCTATACGTGGCATATAGCTGTTTAACTGGCACAAAGGTAGTGGGGGAGGAGTTAGTAAAGGGAGCTGTTAACACAGGAATTTTGTTTACACAAGGTTTGCTTGTTTTGAAGGGGGATGCTTATCAGGATGAAGAATTTACATAGTAAACAGCAACTGAACACATTGTAGGGGGCGAAGGGAATATTTACTCTAGCAGCCAGTTTTAACATAGTGAACACAGAATAAATAGACATTAGTAAATAGCCATTTTATTTTAATTCATCTGTCCATAACAGTATATGTTGGACAATTTTGATCTAGAGAAGGCTGGCGTTTATAAGCCACGCAAGAATGGTGAGAAATACCCATTTCTGACATCCCTTACTTTGTATACTTGCCTAAATATTTTGAATTTTTTTTTTCCCTCCTCCTGGGCTCTCTACCTTTATCAAATGAGGGTTGCTAAAGTGGCAAAATGGAAAGTGGTCTAAAAGAGGTACGTTAACTATCATAATTGGATAACACTACAGAATGTGTTTTAAAACCAATTTACTCCCACTCCCACTATGATCTATGACCAGATACCCTCATATAGAGAATATCTATAATGATATCGTCAGAAAGAGTTGAGAGAGAGATCGAAGTAAACCTAATCATTTAAGGGAGGAACGTGATATATAAATTATAAACCCTTAAAGTCGCAGAAACACGTTTGTTTCAATTGATTAGCCTATTCAAGGAAATGCGCCGACAGAGCTTGAAGGCTCTAGAGAGGAATTGAAAACTGAGGAAAAAGAGGGAGAAAAATAAAAAAAAAAAAAATTTTTTGTGTGCTGTTTTTTTTTTTTTCTATTGGTGATATATTTAAAAGAAAAAAGGAAGAAGAGAGGAGAAGAAAAAAGGAAAAATCATGTCAACTAGAAGAAACCAAGAAAATAAATCAACCCTTAACAAGGATAAAGATAAAGAACATAAGGAGAGGGTGGAAAGAAAAGAGACTAAGACAGAAAAAAGACTCTCTAATTTTTTTACCCCCCAAATGGATAAATCAGCGATGGAGAGTCCTGTAAATGAAATCAACCTGATAACGAGTGAGAAAAAAACAGCACAATTAGAAACACCACAAATAGAAAATTCGATGGTGTCACCAGAATTTTTAAAAAGTTGTTTAGATCAGCAACTCTTAGCAATAAAGCAAGAAATTCTTAACAATAATGCGGACTTAAAAAAAGATATTAAAGAGATAGGCTTGAGGATGGGTCAAGTTGAAAGAAAAATGGACTTAACTGACATAATAATTAAAAACCAACAACAGCAACAGGGGGAATTAAACCAGAAAATTCAAGAGCTAGAATTAAAGATAAATAATCTCGAAGACAGATCAAGACAAAATAATCTGAGATTAAGGAACATCCCAGAAAGTATTACACAAGAAAAAATTAAAGCTTTTCTGGAATCATATTTCATGGAATTAGGAATTCAGAAAGATGAGAATCATAAATTCTTAGAGAGATGTCACAGAATTCCAAAATCAAAAAATCTTGCAATGGAAATTCCTAGGGACATTATGGTTTGCTGTAATTTTTATTTATTTAGAGAAGAACTAAGAAAGGCTTCAAAACAAGGTAGTAAAAAAGAAGAATATTCAAATATAAAGGTTCTTCCAGACTTATCTTATGAAACGAGGAAGAAAAGACGATTATTTGCTTCGGTCTTGGAGATATTAAGAAAAAATAATGTCAAGCATTTTTGGGCCTTTCCAGCAAAACTTATTATTATTTTTGAGGAAAAAACTTTGGTGTTTGACAATTTAGATCGGGTCAGGAACTGGTTACAGGAGGTCCATATGTAAATTTAAGAGATGGTTGTCTTGATAGGATGATTAAGAGAGGATACATTTTTTTAATTTTTTTTTTTATAGTCAAAATGAGTACAACAAGGTTTATTTGATATGATACTGGTTGGGAAAGCCTATAGAATATAATAGATTGATCACATTCATAGAATGGTGTTATATAGAAAATTGAACTAATTACACGGGAAATGTTTTTAATAGTGGATAATAGGTTAAGACATCTATAAAGGTGTTTTTTTTTTTTTCTTCTCTGTGTAATCTCAGTAGTCAAAATGAGTATAACAAGGTTCACTTGATATGATATTCGTTGGGAAAGAGTATAGAATATAATAGATGGATCACATTTATAGAAAGTTGTCATATAGAAAACTGAACTAACTACACGGTAAATGTCTTTAATATTGGATAATAGGTTAAGACATCTATAAAGGTGTTTTTTTTGTTTTGTTTTTTTTTAAGACACGGTATTAATATAAATTTGGTATATAAGAAATTGAAACAATTACATTACAAAAGGTCTTGGTTACTGGGAAATAAGAAAATGTATATATGTATGTGTTTTTTTTTTTTTTTGTTTCTCTCTCTCTGTTACAAGGATTATATAGTCTTTCTGTGACACTCTAGAGGAGGGTTTCCCTTACGCCCCCCCCGACTTAACTCCATATTTGTTTTTGGAGTTTTGGATGCTAACCCAGGGTTTTGGGATGCATTTTCTGTCTTCCACTAGTTGGGAGTGGAGATGGAAATATGTTTTAATAGCGTGGATATGGAATGCCTCATGTTTAAATTACCTGAGGCTATATGAATGTATATGTGGTATTTCTAAAAAATTAGAAAAGGCAAGATTATTCTGGGAGGAGATTTCAATTGTATCTTGGATGGAATACTGGACAGGAATCCATTATTAGGGGTCATGCAAGATAAAAGAGGAAAGAAATCATCAATTCAATTTTCGTCTTTGATAAATGAGTATGGATTATTAGATTTATGGAGGATTAACCATCCACTAGAAAAAGATTTTACTTGTTTTTCTAAAGCACATTGTACTTACTCTAGATTAGATTTATTTTTAGGTTCCCCCGAGGTCCCACATAGGGTTAAAAAGGTTTTGATTCATGAAGTAACCTGGTCAGATCACAAGCCATTAATACTTGATCTTTCTATTTCACCAGATATTAAAACTAGGAATAATTGGAGACTTAATGAATTACTCCTAAGGGAGCATCAGGATATTAATACAATAAAAGAGCTAACAAATCGTTTCTTTGACGAGAATAAAAATAAAGGTACACCAGACACTATAGTCTGGTGTACATATCAGGCGGTGTTGAGGGGACACCTTATTAAATTAGGTTCAATCAAGAAAAAACATAAAGAAGCTTCTTTAACAGAATTATATGTATCTCTTTATAAATTAACAAATTTCAATAAAAGTAACCCAAACATAGAGACAAGTGAGAAAATAGCAATAATATAAAATAAAATTAATAAAATCTTATTTCTACAAACTTCAAAAAAGATGGAATATTTAAGAATAAAATGGTATTATAAAGGAAATAGAGCAAATAAAATACTCACAAACAAAGTTAAAGGTGAGAAATTGAATAAGTTAATAAATAAAATTATTACAGAGGATGGGATCCAATTAACACCTGAAAATATAGGTAAAGCATTCAATTCCTTTTATCAAAAATTGTATAATTTACCTAGTTATTCTTATAATCCAGAAATATATTTTAAAAACAAAAAGTTAAAAAAATTATCAAGAGAACAATTGAATTCTATCAATGAACCCTTCTCAGAAACTGAAATAATAAGTGCAATCAAGTCCTTAAAAAAAAATAAAACACCGGGGCCGGATGGCTATCCAAATATATTTTATCAGCAATTCCAGGACGTTCTAGTAATACACCTTAAAGATCTTTTTAATAATATAGTCAGAGGAAAAGATATACCCAACGAATTATTATACGCCAACATAGTTCCCATACAAAAGCCAGATAAACCTAAGGAATTTGTAGCAAATTATCGTCCTATATCTCTATTAAATTCTGATATAAAAATGTATGCAAGTATTTTGGCAAATAGATTACAAGGAGTCCTCCCATCTATTATACATGGGGATCAGGTTGGTTTTATGAAGGATAGACAATCAAATAATAGTATATGAACAATGATTGATATTTTGGACTACGCTCATGAATCGGGTATTCCATTGCTGTCCCTGTCATTGGATGCCGAAAAGGCCTTTGACAGGGTCAGATCGGACTTCCTTAGGGAGGCCCTAAAAGCTTTTGGCTTTGACGGCTGGATTCTGAGCGCTATTATGGCTTTGTATAGCTCCCCAATGGCTAGAACAATTGGGAGGGGTATAATCTCTGAGTGGTTTAATATAAGGAACGGGACAAGACAGGGGTGTCCCTTGTCCCCATTGCTATACTTGCTATATATAGAACCCCTGATTTGCGACATTAGAAATAATGACAAAATTAAGGGAATTAAAATAGGCCAAGTGGAATATAAAACGTTACTGTATGCAGACGATGTTTTAATCACTATAACAGACCCTATAACATCAATAGATGAACTGTTAAGGTTGATTCCGGATTTTGGCCAGTATTCCAATTTTAAGCTAAATGTAGACAAGACAAATATTCTCGCTAAAAATATAAATAAGGAAGAAAAATTACATATTAAAGCGAAATATACTTTCGAATGGGTAAAAAATGTTTTTGTTTATTTGGGTATAAGGATTTCTAGTAATCCCGCTAGGATTCTAGAACATAATGTTATGCCTTTAATGATGCAAATTAATAAACAATTGAAAGATATGAGAACAGCAGAGATATCATGGACAGGTAGAATCAATGTTGTAAAGGCCTATTTGATCCCTAAATGGAGCTATGTATTCCGTATGCTACCAATGAAAATGCCTAAACCATGGCTCTTGATGATCCAATCAGCCTTAGATAAATATATATGGATGGGGAAAAAACCTAGGGTTAGTAAAAAAATCTTGAACCTAAAACCCAAACTAGGAGGGATGGGCGTTCCCAATATTACAGATATATATGAATCTTGCTCATTGGCACATATTATATCATCTATGAAAGAGAGCTCTAGGGGAGAATCATGGGCAAAGATTGAAGCTAAAAGAGCGGAAGTTCCGGATCTAATGGCTCTATTTTGGAATATACACAAAGGTGAGAAAGATGATATGGGTCTAATTTTAGATAATTTATTGGCCCAATGGAGAACCTGGAAAAAAAGACTTAAAATTATAGATAAAATTATTATTGACCTACCCATGCAGGTATTGTCTATTAATATTGAGGATCTTAATCTTGAACCATGGTTAGACAAAGGCATTAATAGAATAAATCAGTTATTTCAACAACAACAGATTAGACCTTTTGAAGAGATCAAACAGGCCTCCTCTCTT